TTTTTTTTCCACTCCAACAACACTTGCTTTTGCTTTTGCTTTTTAAAAGCTAAAGATGACACCAAAGCAGTGTGTGTAAGTGTGTGCTGTGAATGTGAAGAAGAAAAAGTGTTAAGGGAAAGAAAGAGAACAACATTGGATGCTGCTAGTGTTGTTTGTTTTAGCTTTCTATGCTCTTCATTAGACAATTAATCTTATCATTCTGTGTTGTTTGTGTATAACCAGATAAACCTTTTAAGGTCTATGAAATGTTGTAATTTCTGTTTCCCTCTCATAGTGTATTTGGTTTCTTTCATTCATATTCTACTCCTCTAAGCCACTTCTCTCTCACAAAATGGCTACCCTTTCTTCGTTCAGTTTTGTACCCTTTTGCATGCTCTTGTTCCTTGTTTGTCTCACTAGTCCTGCTTGTGTTTCTTCACTTCAACTTTCCTTGAGAAGGCAAGCTTCAATCCTTGTTTCCATGAAGCAAGATTTTGGAGCTGCTAACTCTTCTCTCAGAAGCTGGGACATGTCAAACTACTTGTCCCTTTGCAGTTGGTATGGCATTCAGTGTGACCATGACAACAGGTCTGTGGTGTCAATTGACATATCAGATTTGAATGTTTCAGGGTCAGTTTCACCTGTCATCACAGGACTCTTGAGCCTTGTGAGTGTGTCACTCCAGGGAAATGGCTTCTCTGGGGAGTTTCCAATTGACATTCACAAGCTACCAAGGCTGAGTTTCCTCAACATGTCTGCAAACGTGTTCAGTGGGAATTTGAGTTGGAAATTCTCCCAGCTAAAGGAGCTCCAAGTGGTGGATGCTTATGACAATGCTTTCAATGGGTCACTTCCTCTGGGTGTCACTGATCTCCCAAAGATCAAGCACTTGAACTTTGGAGGGAACTACTTCTCTGGGGAAATCCCTCCAAGCTATGGAAACATGTGGCAGCTCAAGTATCTGTCCCTTGCAGGGAATGATTTGAGAGGATTCATACCAAGTGAGCTTGGGAATCTCACCAACTTGACTCATCTTTTCTTGGGATACTATAATCAGTTTGATGGTGGAATCCCTCCAGAGTTTGGTAAGCTCACCAATTTGGTTCATCTAGACATTGCAAACTGTAGCTTGACAGGTCCGATTCCTGTTGAGTTGGGAAACCTGAAGAAGTTAGACACTCTCTTCTTGCAAACAAATCAGCTGAGTGGTTCGATCCCTCCCCAGCTGGGAAACTTGACTGGATTAAAAGCTCTTGATCTATCATTCAACATGCTCACAGGAGGCATCCCTGATGAGTTCTCAGCCCTTCAAGAGCTTACCCTCTTGAACTTGTTCATAAACAAGCTGCATGGAGAAATTCCTCACTTCATTTCTGAGCTACCAAACTTGGAGACTCTCAAGCTTTGGCAGAACAACTTCACTGGAGTGATTCCTTCTAATCTTGGCCAGAATGGCTGGTTGGTTGAGCTTGATTTGTCAACAAATAAGCTCACTGGTTTGGTGCCAAAATCTCTGTGCCTTGGAAAGAGGCTGAAAATTTTGATCCTGCTCAAGAACTTTCTGTTTGGATCTTTGCCTGAGGATCTTGGTCAATGCCACACACTCCAAAGAGTCCGTTTGGGTCAGAACTACTTAACCGGGCCATTGCCACATGGGTTTCTCTATTTGCCTGAACTTTTACTTGTGGAGCTTCAGAACAATTATCTTAGTGGTGGCTTACCACAATCAACAAGCAGCACACCCTCCAAACTAGCACAGTTGAACCTATCTAACAACCGCTTCTCAGGGTTTCTTCCAGCCTCAATTTCAAATTTTCCAAACTTGCAAATTCTTCTGCTTAGTGAAAACAGACTCTGTGGAGAAATTCCACCAGTTATAGGGAGTTTGAAAAGCATCCTCAAGTTTGATATAAGTGTCAACAACTTTTCAGGTACTATTCCACCCGAGCTAGGTAATTGTGTCTTACTCACCTATTTAGATTTCAGCCAAAACCAGCTATCAGGTCCCATTCCTGTTCAAATTGCTCAAATCCACATATTAAACTATCTCAATGTCTCATGGAACCACCTAAACCAAAGCCTTCCCAAGGAACTTAGGACCATGAAGGGCTTAACTACAGCAGATTTCTCTCACAACAACTTCTCAGGTTCAATACCGGAGGGGGGGCAATTCTCAATCTTTAATTCTACATCCTTTGTGGGTAATCCTCATCTATGTGGTTATGACTCCAAGCCATGCAACCTTTCTTCAACATCTACTCTGGAGTCTCAAGAAAAAAAGAGTGCAAAACATGGGGTGCCTGGGAAGTTCAAGTTCCTTTTTGCATTGGCATTGTTGGGGTGCTCATTGGTGTTTGTAACCTTGGCCATAATCAAAAGTAGAAAGACTAGGAGGCACTCCAATTCATGGAAGTTAACAGCATTCCAGAAGCTGGAGTATGGGAGTGAGGACATCATAAGTTGCATAAAGGAAAGCAATGTCATAGGAAGAGGAGGATCTGGGGTTGTGTACAGAGGAACCATGCCAAATGGAGAGGAAGTGGCAGTGAAGAAGCTCTTAGGAATCAACAAAGGATCTTCTCATGACAATGGCCTCTCTGCAGAGATAAGAACATTAGGGAGAATCAGACATAGGTACATTGTGAGGTTGTTAGCATTTTGCTCAAACAGAGAGACCAATTTGCTTGTCTATGATTACATGCCAAATGGAAGCTTGGGGGAAGTGTTGCATGGGAAAAGAGGTGAGTTTCTCAAGTGGGACACTAGGCTCAAAATAGCTATAGAAGCTGCAAAAGGACTTTGTTATCTGCACCATGATTGTTCCCCTTTGATAATCCATAGAGATGTCAAGTCAAACAACATACTCCTCAACTCTGATTTTGAGGCTCATGTTGCTGATTTTGGGCTTGCCAAGTTCATGCAAGATAATGGTGCATCAGAGTGCATGTCTTCCATTGCTGGTTCCTATGGCTATATTGCTCCAGGTACTTTAAATATTCAACTACATATAATTGGAGAATCATGATTGGTAACTTCAGGTTATATCTTCTGGCTCAGTTCAATTTTCTAGCATCACTAACTTCAAGTTGAAGACATTATTACCTAACACCTAATAAAAATTATTGCATACTATAGTGTCAGCACACATGGTCCGAACAATTTTTACCTGAAGGTGAAAAGTTTGAGCTCTTCTTTTAAACTGAAAATCTTTAGTCTTAAATCTACTTTTGGTTCTCATTAACATGTCATTTTAATTAATAAAAAATATATATAATTACTTGTTTAGTCCTCAAATTACAGTACCATACTGACAGATAAATATGTGACCTTGTAAGAGCTTTTCCCTCCAAAATATTTGGAGGACATAGCTGTTCAGTAAGTATGTTTGGCCAAATGAAATGAGTGAAAATGCTAGCATGCAACAAGAAGAATGATTATAGAGGCTCTTTTTTTTAAGGATAAAATAAAAATTTTCATGTGTTAAATTCACTTGTGATTGATTTTTTGGGTACAGAAATGGTTTTTCCCCTCCGTAGCCACTGTAGCATGTACTTGGTCTTTTTTATGGGACCACAATGTCCAACACCATGTACGTGGATTCCTAGACTGACCAGTAAAGGCTCCACTAACACAGAGGAAATTCTTTTCACTTTTATTTTTCACGCTAACTGGGTGTGTGCTTGCTTTTTTGCATGCCTTGAAACTACAAACCCTTAATCCAGAACAAATCACAGCCCTCCCTTTTTGACCATCTTCATATCAGTGACAGTCACTGAATGCACATTAACCAAATGCATATATTTTACCCCCCACAAAGTTTCAGATCGAGATCTATGATTCACTTTCTCAAAACCCCAGATGAAAAAGAAACCTGAAGAATTTAGGCACAAGACACAAGTTGGTTATCTTTTAGAAATTTCACTTGTTACTTTGGAAAATCAAAACGAAGCTTTTCCCTTTATCTGTAAAATAATGTTGGACTAGTCTTCCTTTAACTTACCCACTTTTTCCTCAATGTTAAATTAATAATTTCATCCTTTTACCTTATACCATTCTATTGCAACATTTAATTCCTAAAACCAGTGACATGGATAATGACCATCTAACATTATTTTATACATGTTTGTGTGAAAATTTAACATCATCATATATGTGTGTGATATCAAGTCTAGTAGGGCTACTTTACTGTTGAAATATTGCATTTTTTTAGTGGTTTTTATTTGTTACAGAATATGCATACACATTGAAAGTGGATGAGAAAAGTGATGTTTACAGCTTTGGAGTGGTGCTGCTAGAGCTCATAACAGGGAGAAGACCAGTGGGAAACTTTGGGGAAGATGGATTAGACATTGTTCAATGGATCATGATGCAAACAAATGGGAACAAAGAGATGGTGATGAAGATCCTTGATGAGAGGCTACATCACATTCCTTTGACTGAAGCAAAGCAGGTGTTTTTTGTGGCAAAGTTGTGTGTTCATGAACACAGTGTGGAAAGACCAACCATGAGAGAAGTGGTTGAAATGCTTGCACAAGCAAAACAACCAAATACATTTCAGATGCAGTGATCTAGAATAGTAAAAGAGAACAACTTCCAAAGAAAAGAATGACTTCTTCCTTGATACATATATCCTTTGTATTGGTTTCCAAACTAGTTTGTTAAATGAAATTTTAATGTTATTTTTCTTTTCCCTTTTACTTTACTGGCATCTCTTCAATGGGTGCAAGAGAGTCACTATAGTTTATATGGTTATGCATGGGAAAGCTAGAATTAATGTTAAACTGTCCATAGCTTGTTAAAAGTTTGTATAATACATAGGGATTTTGTTTGGAATGAGTAAACTTATTAAAACATTTTATATTTTTACTTAATTTACATTTATTTTTTTTACTATATATTGAATATATCTCTATATATCTCTTCTATATATATACTCTCTCATATCTTCCTCAACTTCACTTAACATAATTTTCCTGACAGATTACAGTGCGAATCTCTTTCATGTCAGAGAGTTTCTTTGGAAAGAAATATTTTTTAATTATAACTATTCTAGTGGTGATTTTTTTTTATGCCACTATTTTACAATGGGACATATTTTTCTCAAAGAAAAGATCTTTTATACAAAAGAAAAAAATCTTAAAACTTTTAGAATGTTTTACCAATTTTGTATCATGTTCGTTGAGTCACTAAAATAAATTATCGGCTAATGATTTTTTTTTGGGTTAAATATGTTTTTTAGTAGGTCCCTAAACTATTGGCCGTTCTTTGTTTCTGGTTTTCATCCCTCTTTCCCATACTATCCCATCTCTTTTCCTCTTCCTTTTCCCCCACTTTCTTTTTCTTTCTCTCCCCTCCCCTTTTTTTTTCTTCGCTCCTTTTTTTTTCCTCCCTTCTGACCCCCCCTTTTAAAAAACGTTGTTAGGTTTCGAGGACTAAAACGAACGTTTCGAAAAGAATGAGGACCAATTGTACAAAGAGGGACCGAAACTAAACGACCATAGTTAGGGACTAAAACATATTAAACCATTTTTTTTTTATAACAAAAATCTAAAAAGTTTTACATAAACTAAAAATCATAAATTTTTTATATAAATAATGTTTTTTTTAATTAAATATAAAAATGCAAATATTTTTGTAGATCTCTCCCTCCCCTTTCCGTTTTTTTCCTACGTTGTGTTCTGTTTTCCAGCCAAAAGCACCTGCTCTCAGGCAAGAAATGAAAATTGAGACATGAGCGATGTGAATTTCATAGCACTTGGATTATAAGGTATTTGGATTGGAATCGATGTAGATGACTTAAAGTTATTGAAAGGAAGATTTATATTATTTTTCTTATTAAATTAATTTTAAAATCTTACTACAATATTTTGAAGGTAAGTTCTCATTACCTTATAATAAAACAAATGTTTTTAATTGATAAAAATAAATAATTAACCAATTTTTCTCTTATTAAAAATTTGATTTATAGTTTTTTTATCTTTCACTCCATTAATTTAATTAAATGATATACAATACTGATCTGTCAAATTTTTACTATAATACATTACTACCTTCTCTAAATTTAATTAATTCTATCCACCTACCATTACCATCTCCCTCCTTCACCACTCTCTCCTTATTCTCTCTCCCTAATATAATTATCCACACAATTATTTACTAAAATCAACATATATAAGACTAAATACTTACTCAACAACCTCCATGATTAACACCGTACTATTTATTAACTAAAACATATAATATATTTAATAAATTTTTATATTAATAATTAATTGTATTTTAAACATACAAATTAAATAAGTAACAATTATCATTTATTTAACCTCTTAAAAAGTAATAAACAATAAACCACCGGAACTACCACTTCTTCATATAAGATTACCAAGAACCACAGTTTTGGATGTCTTCCACCATGATAATGGTTAAAAATAATGTTATCTGTGATTTAATTTTGACACTAAATACCTCTTTTCTGTTTAGAACTTGTTTGGTGGAATCATGTTTTTCTGTTAAGTTGTGTGAATAAGAGAGTTGAGGTTGAATTTGATGGTTTTATGACTAATTTTCCTTGTTTTGGCAAGAAATGAGATAATAGGAAAACAGATGAAGTGTCATGGAGATGGAGCTCAGAAAGGCCTGAAAAAAGCACTAGAAGGGAGGAGTGCTCGAAGCTTGGACGCCCTTTCTGGAGGCTTAAGCGCAAAAGAGTGTCGCTCACTGCCTGGACGCCCCTTTTGGGGCGCTTGAGCGTCAGAAGCACGAAGCTTGGGTGCCCCTTTGGAGGCTTAAGCGCATAGAAGTGTCGCTCACTGCGTTCACTCCCTCCCCCCCTTTTTTTCTCGTTGAGCAACTAGAAGCCAAGCCTTGGGGGGTTTGGCGCCCCTTTGGAGCTAAGTGGGGTGCTTGTTAACACCCCAAATAATTTAAAGGGTATTACTCATAGTAAAGACTAAATTAATTTGATATCTGATATAAACAATCAAACTTTATTTCAATTCTTCCAAAATACAATTCCAAACTTGCAAACTTTAAACAATATAGTCTTCACCACTTAACATAAATTCAAAATTAAACTTATAAGTCTTACACAACATATTTTTTTCAAGCAATTTTATTCTTTTTACAAAAATCCTTGAAAGTTTTTCCCCGCATCTCTCTCATCATCTCTAAGCTTTTTCAACCGCATCTGCAACATTATCTGCTCACATATAACATGAGTTATATGATCATAGCACAAACAAATAAGGGTAAGTCAACCATATCATACAATCATTAAACTTACTTATAATATAAATGTTTCAATCATGTATTTTCTCTTTCTGCAATTTTAAATACCATTAACCCGTGTCCAGTATTATTCCTTCATTTTTTTTCTTAACTCTTAACTTTCTTCAAAATCATCTTTCTCATTTTCATAAACGTACAAGTAAGAACCATGCGTACTCACAAACCCTTATGGTTTAGAGACCGCTCTCTGCTTACTTCCTTAAGCCTTTAACCGTATACTATGTCGTACTTTCTGAAGTTCTTTAGTCCAGACCCTCTTTGCTGCGTCTATAAAAACACGAATCATATGTTATGTCAAGCCTTATGGTCAATACCACTTTTCTCCTGCTTTCATAAAACTTACGAATCATATTTTATGTCAAAGCCTTATGGTCAGACCACGTTCTGCCGCTTTCATAAAACTTACGAATCAGCTGTTGAGGTCAAAGCCCTTATGGTCATACCACTTCTGCCTGCTTTCATAACTTCGAATCATATGTTATGCAAAGCCTTATGGCCAGACCACTTTCCCTTCCTCTGCCTTGCTTTCATAAACCTCGGGTGTTACTTTGCTCATATCAAGCTCTCATGGTATAAACCGAACATACTACTCCCAGTAGTAAACATCATTGCATAAGTAATGATTTCTTATATCCACTCCAACATTTCATAAAATCAACAATTCATATCCTCTTATCCACCTAACTCAATCATGTTCATTCTTTAATCAATGATTGACAATAAACCCGTTGTGGTGTCAATAATTAAACATATTGGCCCTGATATCATACTCATATTAAAACTCATTTTTTTTTCCCATAACGAGTATAACTCAACATATTTTCACCAATCAAAGGTCATAGATCAGCCAAAATACATCAACATATCTTAGAAACTACATACTAAAGTTTAGGCTCAATGTAATGGTAAATGAAATATATATGAAGTTTTTACATGATAACTTAAGAACAAAAAATCTAGTGTCATCATACTTTTCAAAATTTCGAAATTTAATGTCTCAACACATAGACTTCTAATTACGAATCTGAACGGTCAAATTATAGTAATATATCTTAGGAATCATATATCAAATTTTCAGGTTTGAATCTAAACGGTAAATATAACAGAATTATATTTTACCATAGGACTCAGGTAACACAATAACAGGGTACTTATTTACCTCACATGTAGAACTTATTCTCTCCAAGATCCACTCTAATTATTTCGTAACGTCAAAGTGAAGAATAATGCTTGGATTCATATATTAAAATTTTAGCTAAATCCAAACTGTAAAAAACAATTTAAAAGGACTGTTTACCACAGTACTCTAAAATAAGAAATTATAATCATGAAAACTAAATTTACACAAGTGATAGATACTCACCATAACCAAAATTTAACCTGTTCATACTCAATACTTCTGTCATAATATTAAATAATCATATGTAGAAAGGATTAGCTCCCCTACCATTCAAAATCATCTTAATATAAAAATTCAGGGAAAACAGAAGTTGAATATAGCAGAGCCGGTTGACAACTTCCCATTATTCCAGAAAGATACAATAAAAAAAATAGATAACACCTAAACTTTCTGGAACAGAATTTTGAATCGGGCAAGAGGCCGGTTAGACAACTTGGGGTTTCTTATCTTCCAAAAAATACATATCAATAAATAATAAATAAAACAAAGGTCTGGGGAAAATAAAAGTTGAATCTGGTCAGAGCCGGTTAGACAACTTCTCATCCTGCCAAATATAATATAAGATATAAGAAACAATAAAAGGTCTGGAACAAGAAGTTGAATCTGGCAGAGCCCGGTTAGACACTCTCATCCTTCCAAAATTGCAAAAGAATACTAAATGT